CCTTGCAGTTGATGGCAGAGTGAGGATGATTTTAGGGAACCCCTAAACTCTGCATCACTGGTTTTAACAGCAGATTGGAGGTGGCTAAAGAGCTAGTGAACTTTAAGGTAGATCACATAATTTTCCAAACTGAAGAAAAGATTAAAAACATGAAGAAAACCTTAGTAGCATATGGGACAATATTGAAAGATCTAAAATATATGTAAATTCTTATAATACAGGAGAGAGGGGATGGGCCAGAAACAGATACTTGAAATAACAATAGGTAAAAATTCCTAAGTTTGGTAACAGTTATACATCTGCAGATTCAAAAGCTTAAATAATGAGAAAAAGGAAAAAGACACACACAGAAAAGTCACATTTGGGCACATCATAGTCAAACTGCTGAAGAACCCAATTTAGAGGAAACCTTGAAAAAAATCATGAAAAAATGGCACATGACATATAGAGTATGAAAATCTACTAAGTTCTTGTAAGAACAGACATTATGATTGCTGTATGTATATAGGTGACTCTATGACCAGTGTGATTTTGCAATCTGTACAATTAGAAAAATGAGAAATTATACCCCAATGACCTCAAATGTATGAATCAGCAAGATCATTGTAATGTCATGTGTAGCTAATAAAAAAAATTTAAAAAAAAAGAAATAATAGAAGTCAAAAAATTAGACAGGGGCTGGGGCTGGGGTCAGTGGCAGAGCACTTGCCTCGCACATGTGAGGTACTGGGTTCGATCCTCAGCATCACATATAAATCCAACAAAAAGGAAGCGCATTCTCTGGCAGTCAAGCACCACAAGATATGCCCAGTGTGTTTCTTCAGGCTGAAGGGAATGAGATCAGATGGAAACCCCGATCTTTAGGAACAAATGCGAGCAGCAGAAATGGGGGAACAGTTGGTAAATATAAAATGTCATTTCCCTCCTTAATTCATTAAAATGTCTTTTTTAAAATACAAATATAACAAGGTCCTGTGGGATTTAATAAGAATGTGGGTATAGTAACACAAGTGTGACAACTGCAGTATTAAGTCCAGGGTGGACTCAGATGGTTGCAAGAAACACTTCACAGGAAGTGCAATGCTGTTAGCTCAAGGGAGACTAAAACGTCAGTGGTAGAGGATGTGCTCTTTAGAGCAACCACTACAAAATATTGCAAAGAAACAGAGTTAAAAAAGCAAACAGATAAAATCTAAAAGGTTAAATTAACCTATGTAAATCAGAAAAGCAACAAAAGATCAAAACATTAATGGGAAAACCAGAGTAAGAAAACAAACATAAATCCAACAATACTAATAATTACGTTAAATATTAAATGAAAGAGATTCTCCAATTATAAGGCCCAAACCAACTATGGAGAAATATATATCAATATACAGACAACTATACATTGTCTGCAGTTGACAAATATTAAATAAAAAACAAATAAAAGGCAAATGGATGGAAAAAGATAAACTATAGAAATAATAAGCCTAAGAATATGGGAATGGGCACATCAGTATGAGATAAAGTAGTCTTCCAGATAAAAGAATATTATCAAAGATCAAAAGAGTCATTTCATAATCATTAAGGGGACAATATGTAAGGAAGACAAACTGATCATTAATGAATATTAGCTCAATAAGAGAGCTTCAAAATTCAAGAAGCAAGCTTTTGCTGAACTGTTTCATCTTCATTTTTGAAGGACAGTTTTGCTGGACATAGAATTCTAGGTTGAGAAACAGATAAATCCACAATAATATGCAGAGGTTTTTAACAACCCCCTTCTGAATAATTTTTGAAAAAAGATAGATTTTAAAAATCACAACAAAACAGGGCGTGGTGGCACATGCCTATAAACTCTGGAGGCTGAGGCAGGAGCATCATGAGTTCAAAGCCAGCCTCAGCAATGGTGAGGTGCTAAGTAACTCAGTGAGACCCTGTCTCTAAATAAAATATAAAATAGGGGTGGGGATGAGGCTCAGTGGTTGAGTGACCCTGAGTTCAATCCCCAGTACCCACCCTCCCATGCACAATGAAACAGACTTGACTTAGGTCAAGTACCTAACTTGACCCATTAGGTACTTAAAGATTACATTGAAATCCTAAAATATACTGCCTGGCCATAATAAAATTAAACTAAAATAACAATACAGTATCTAGGAAAACCTCAATTTTAAAAAATTTGTTTTGGTGCAGTGCTAGGGATTAAACCAAGAGCCTTACACATGCTTGACCAGTGCTCTACCACTGAGCTACACTCCAAACCCCCAAATATTTTAAAGTTAAACAATAATTCATGAGTCAAAAAGAAATCATAAATAATTTTATAAAATTTTTAAAGCTCAACCAAGTGAAAACATACTTTAAAAGGTATGGGAGCTGGATGTGGTAGTACACTTCTGTAATTCCAGCGGCTCAGGAGGCGGACACAGGAGGACTGGAAGTTCAAAGCCGGCCTCAGCAATTTAGTGACGCCATAAGCAACTGAGTGAGATCCTGCCTCAAAAATTTAAAAAGTGAAAAATGGATGGGGATGTGACTCAGTGGTCAAGTGCCCCTGGGTTAAATTGAGGGGGTGGGGGAGAGAAAGAAAGGAAGGAAGGAAGAAGGTAGGAAAGGAGGGAGGGAGGAAAGGGGTATAGATATAGCAAAAATTTTCTTAGAGCATTACAATTATACTGAGTAGTTGGGTACAGTGTGACAACACCATACATATATGGAATTTGATATCCTCCATTTCAGTCCTGGTTCCCATCTTTTCCTCCTCTTACCTCCCCCATTCTCCTTCCTCTACTCTATCGATCTTCCTTTATATATTTATATATACATAAAGATGGAATTCCCTGTGCCATACTTATATGTGCACAATGCCATGATTTTATTAAATTCACTCCATATTTCTAGAGGAAAATTCACATGTTTAAATGATTGTATTAGAAGAAGAGTATATAATCAATAACCTAAGGTTTGCCCTTAGGTAGCTAAAAAAAAGAACTCAAAGTAGAATGAAGAAAACAATAAGCAGATAAACAATAGGGAAAAATTGACAAAAGCTAAAGTTGGTTCCTTTTAAAAGTCAAGAGAATTGATAAATTTTTAGTCAGAATGATTCAGGAAAGTGTGTGTGGGGGGGCATACAACACAAACTCCTAATATCAGTAATAAGGGCGGAATATCCCTAAACAAGCTTCAACATTAAAGTAATAATGAGATATTAAAAACAACTTTAGGCCAATAATTTCAACAATTTAGATGAAATGAACAAAGTTTTTGAAAAAAATACAACTTATCAAACTGACACAAGATGAAAAGGAAAACATTGATAGTCTAATACGTATAACTTTCTCACCTCTAGGTTCCAAGCCCTCTACTCTATCCTGCCGTCACTGCTTGACTCATTTTGATTCCCATATTTCACAACTTGCACAATTCTGTTCATGAACATACCCCCTGCCTCTTTTTCATGCCAATCTTCTATCACCCTGCAGCACATTCCTGAATTCTAATCATGGTACCATCTCTCAGATATGCAAATCTGCTACAACTCATACCTTCTTTCACATGTCCCTTGGCATCAATGCCATTCTGTTCCTGGCCAAATCTTGCCTGTGCTTCAGGGTCCACCTGGATCTAATCCCCTATAGGAAGTTTTCATTTTTGAGGCTATTCCCAGCCCTCAGGGTCTCCCTTCTAGGAATTCCATGGCAACACATCACTATCATTGTTTTGAGGGAAGACTTTGTTGTCCTGCATATTTGTCTTATTTTTCTAATTAAAGTATTAGCTCTTTAAAGATAACAATTTTTTAAAAAGTTCTCTGTCCCTTAAAGCACATATTAAGCATTCAATAAATATTTGTAAAATATTTGCAAAAAACTGTTGAATGGATATATAAAGTCAAGATCCTATTTCTGTGGCTCTTGTCAGACTCTCATACCACCTGTAAGGCTTTCTCCAACAACTAGCCAAAAATCATCTGATTAAAATAAGTAGAGGTAAAGAGAGGGAGAAGTAGTGAGTGATCAAATTACAAGAAGAGATGGGGAGGCTTGGTTTCAGCAAGCATAATAAATAAAATGGGGCTGAGTTTCACATCCTGCTGCCACCAGTATCTGATAGGCATGCACTGATACCATCAAGTCATTTTCTCCTTGTCTTCACCCCACCCTGAATCCTTGTGGGCACAGAATGAACCCAGGGGCTCCAGACAGCTTATACTTCCAAGCACATCTGTACATGCCATTCATTATACACCCACATTGTTTGGATAACAAGAGACTTAACAATATCTTTTAAAAACCAGTTACCAATTACTGATGGTCTCTTACCACTACATATAAACTATCCCAAATTGTAAATGTCTTTACTGTAACCAAGTACTAGCAAAATGTGACTGCAAACCTGTCTTTTAATCTTTCACAAAATAATTTTGCATTTATACTAAAATTAACAATAGCTTTTGTGAATACAGATAATTTTGAGTAAAAATACATTTTCTGTGGGGTTAGGTAAAGAAATTCCTATAAGCAAAAATTCTCTCCAGTTCTCTCGCACTGGTCACTTCCTAGTAGCATCTCTTTCATTTAAATCAAAATAGCTTATATCATCTTCATTTCCTCTTCTCTCTAATTAGATGAATCTGGTTGCTCTTCTCTGTAGACAGATTAAAGGTTGGGGTGAGGGCTGGGGTTGTGGCTTAGTGGCAGAGAGCTTGCCTAGCATGTGTGAGGCACTGGCTTCGATTCTCAGCACCGAATTAGATAAATAAATAAAATAAAATCAGCAACTAATAAAAATATTTTTTAAGAAAGGTTGGGGTGTTTTGTTTTCCTAGTATTTCAGAGTCCAATCCTCAGAGCAATGACAACAGGAAGTGTAGAGGAGTGGTTTAGAGGAGGCAGGCTCCAGGGGAACCTATCTCAAGGAAAGACAGCACACACATAAGAGACAGTGGGCTGCTCCAGCTATTTCCAGCCCATGACATCGACCCAGGGTCTTGCAAACAACCCGCTCCTTACCCAGATTGGAAGAGGCGCGCCCCTCTGCTGCCCGATCCTTGAGGTCCTCAGCTATGCCCAGCTGCTGCTCGTGGTACTGTTTCGCTCTTTCCAAATCCTGCATGCACCTGGCGGCGTGGCCCAGGCCTGCGTAGGCCCGCATCTCGATGGCCTTTTCCATCAGCTCCTGCGCCAGCTCCAGCACGTAGTTGTGGTAGGACATGGCCTTGTCGAAGTTCCTGCGGTAATGGTAGGCGCTGCCCAGGTTGCTGTAGGCCCGGGCCTCTTCCCGCTTGTTCCCCAGCTCCTTGGCTATCTTCAGGTGCTGCTCGTGGCACTGCACGGCGTTCTCAAAGTCGCCCATGGCAATATACACAGCTCCCATGTTGCCAAGTTCTCGGGCTTCGGAAAGCTCGTCTTTGGATTGCTTGGCGAGAAGAACACACTGTTTGTGACTGGCCAGTGCATTGGGGTAGTCTCCGATGGCTGTGTACACGTGGCCCAGACTGCTCAGGGCTGACGAAGCTGCCTGGAGAGAAAGGATAAGGCAGAGAAATGAAAGCACATCAGAAAATGGCTTTGGTTTGTTTCAGCAGATACAATTTCACAGAGTTTGCCTGTAACTATCAATCCAGTCCCTAATGGAGTTTCTATCAGTGGGCCACAGACCTCCAGAGAACTGATAAAGAGCACATCCAACACCAAGTTCCCAGCAGAAGACAATGGTAATTTAATCAGGAGCTTTCCATACCTAATCTCACAGAAGCAGGTTGTGTTCCATATGACCTTTGTCTTAGTTTAAAGACTTGGTGACATTTCTAATATTCACTATGATATTACAACTCTGTTAATATCCATTAACCTCTGTGCTATAAGAAAGTGTTGAAGAAAACCAAAATTAATTACTACATATGACAGAGTGTAGGACATTCACAGGAGAAGCCTGGGCTTGGCTTGTGGCCCTCCTGGGTGATTCTGTACTCTGGTTTTCTTCGAAGCAAATGGATGCATTAGTGGTGAGGGAGATGTTCACCATGAGGACTGAGAATTTTGCAAACCAGGACCCACTTGAAGGTCCTGATTTCTCATCTTGTTCCTTCAAAGTGACTTTATGGGTGCTGGTTACTGTGGAGGGCTTAGATTTGGATGAGTCTCCTTGGAAATCAACGGCTGCGTTCCAACCTGTGCCTCTGATTGGGGTGGTCTCCATTTAGCCTCCATGAAGCCTCCCTGCCCTCCTTAGGCTCACCGCCCAAAGAAAAGTACACAAACCCTTTTGGTCTTAAAGGTTTCAATGAAAATAACTCTGTGTCAGTGTAGCGGATCACACAGGAACTATGAAAATATCACAGGAGAGGTTACACAAGCACGTACAGTCCTAGATCCTGGTCTTCAGTTTCTAACTCCTTTGCAGAGGTATGACAGGGAAGTTATGCTGGGCTTTTTAAGTGCTTCTTTTCATTCCACAAGTTGGAAGCTTCCTCCCCTCCCCTCCTTCACTGCCTGTCTACAGCTTAGGGCCATGTCACCCCCTCTCTTCATGATGCTTCCCTCTGAAGCATGGAAAGCAGACCCTGGCAGAACAAAGGCTGCACTCCCACACGTGGGCAAGAACTCTTCCCCAGGGCCCCGGGCACAGGACTAGCCATGAGGTAATGCTGTCCCTGCTGAGTACAAGGGCATTTCTTTGTGGGAAGGGTTCTATGTTTGTGCACATCAGGACACTTTTATTAATATTTTATAGATATGAGTGATTTGCTCCCCTGTTTCCTTTGCTTGTGAAATAGCAGTTCTTGATCAAAATGACTGAGACACCATTTTTATGGGGCTTGCAAATAGTATATTTGCAAAATGTTCCATATTGTTCTAAGTTGCTTTTATCATTTCGCAGATGTTCCAACAAAAAGATTTAGAAAATAGAGAGGAAATACATCCTTAGAAATTTACTTTTTTTGCTTTCTTCTGAGTGGAGAGAACAGAAACAGCTCCACGAGAGTCACAATGCTGCAAGCGCTGTGATCTGGCAGAAGCAACACTGGTGACACCAAATGGCATGCCACTTGGACCACACTGGCCACGGGTTCCCACAGGAGGGCCCTTGGGGCTGAGCTTAGGACTTCGGGTCAGCAGTCTAGACAGGCGTCTGCTGCTCCCTGGTCTTTCCCCTGCACTACCCACTCACCCACCCGACCATCTTCTCTTCCTGTGCTTTAGGCCCAGGACTCGGCCTCTTCCCTCTGCTTCAGTGGTTAGCTCTCCCAGCCTTATTCTCCCCAAACCCTCCCACCCTCAGCCCTTTGTCACCCTCACAGTAAAACACCAGGGCTCTTTTGCGACTAGGGGGGTGGCGCACAGTCACACCCTGGTTCAGAGCTGCGCCGCCCTCCCCTAGCTGGAGCCACTTAACTTCCCTAGGCCCAGCCGCGAGCCAGGAGCCTCTGTCAAACGCAAAAACCATAAATAATTCACTAGATGGCTCCCACAGTAGCTTGTGGAGGCAGCGAGCCTGGGGCGCCGGGATGGGTTACAGGCCCTGGGCGGCTCCACACCCCGGCGGGCATCGCCATTCTCAGGAACTTCTGGTTTATGGCACTCTAAACGACGGCCCGGGGAGCCTCTGCTCTGGTCTTTCATTTCTCCAATGCCAGGGAGACACAGCACTCGCTTAGGGGAGCTCTCTGAACATAAGGACAGGGAATTCTGGGGCATCTCCCTTCTGGGGAGGGGAGAGGAGGGAAGGACCAGCCACGAGCTCTTTCTTGATGCTGTCAGGGGGTGTCCTGCAAACCAGCATCACTACCAAGGACCATGGAATTTAGGAAGCATACACCACAGCCCCTGAGACCAGAGGGGTAGCTTGGCACAGGGGAGGATTGGATAGGATTTGGTGTCGAGGCCCTGGCTGTGACACCCTAATAAGTCATTTTAACCTATTTAACTTGCTTTCTTTATTTATAACATGGCACTTGATGACAATACTGTCCATACTCCGCAGGGCTGGGAGGGGATCAGATGAGGCTGGGAGCCCGAGTGCTCTGTGAAGGTGTTGCTAAGGGGTGCACAGTGTCTTATGAAGGCAAGCTGCCTGGGCTGGGCTCTGTTACCTGAAAATATCAGTCACTGTGACCAAACATCTATATTCCTATCAGTCGCCACAGGAAATGAAGTCCAGTGTTTTACAGCTCAGGGCAAATAACATGTGATGGTATTTATCAGCTAAGTGAATTACAAATTAATCACTTGTCTTTGTTCCTGTTGCTGTAGAATAAGTGTAGATCTGAAACATGGTTTCAGGCTGTTAATGAGGATCTGAAGACCCACTATCGATAGGGAATCACGGGCCCCACCTCAAGCAGATGCTGCATTTGCCACCAAGGTTCACGCTGCCTTTGTATATTAATCTCTCTGAGATTTTTGTGCTAGAATAGCAGCAGCTGCTTCCCACAGTGGAAACATTTTGGAACATCTGTATTTGAATACTAAAATGCATACAAACAGTTATGCTAACAAACTATCTGGCTGGAGTAAGACAATGGCTTTCTCTTTGTACAGACAGAAATTACTCATGCTCCTGCCTAAGCTCCATTTCCAGCTGCAGACTGAACACAGAGGAGTCAGGAGCCCCTCGCTCTGTGACCTCAACATTTGAGATGAACTGCATCTGACAAGTTAGTTTCACGAGACCTGAATCTAGAGCCGGAAATATGCTCATATTTCATCCATCCACCTTTAAAGGGTTTTAGTTGGAGAAATAAAGTTCAAACTGCCCCAAACTATAACCACATTGATGGCACTACCATTAACCATCGTGCTGAAGATTTAAACATGTTTTCCTTTCCTCTTAGCATGTTTTCCCCTGTACAATATATATTTTTGATTCAAGTTTTATTATGTGGGAGATTAAATACACAGTAGTATTATATGGAAAATAATCAGTATAATTGCTGATTGACTTAATTGCATGTAGTTGTAAAAATGGGAAATGTACTGGCTGCTAGTACTAGAAATATTTTTTTTCATTTTTACTGCCCAAATCCACATGCACCATGCATGTAGACAGAGGGACACAGAAACTCAGGGATACTCTGGAATCAAGCATGCAAAGGCTCAAATAGCACAACGTGTGATAAGGCACATCATGTAGCATCTCTGAGCCTTGGTTTCCTCAACTGTAAAATGGGAATATTAATATTAGAGGCTTGATAGGCTTAAAATAAATCAGTATTTGTAAAGAGCCTCATTCATGGCTTATTATGTAGAAGATGCTCAAATATTTTAGTTTTGAGTTTCTCTTCTTATTCCAACCAAAATAATACCCACTTAGCTTTATTCATTTCAGAGATGTGGTAGAAGATGATCAGGAAATAAAACATGAAGTTCTGATACCACAACTAAAAAGACCACCATGGTGGGAAAGTCATCATCTTCATATACAAAGGCTGGCATGCCTTCAATTAGTCTTCTGCAATCATATTCATGAGAAAATTCACCCCTTGCTTAGGGACATCTTAGGATCATTTGCACATCCAACACATGGTCTTAGTAAACACTTTATTTCAAGTGGTTTAAGCTCTGGAGTATTTGGGGTCTGCTGGTTGGTTGGGACATCTGTTCATTCATTCATTCACGCAGTCAAGAAAATTCTCTATACCCACACAAATATCATGAACTAATCTTGTTGAAGGAACAGAGGTAATTCCACAGAGAAGGATGCGTTTCAAGAAATGGTACTGGAGCAACTAAATCTCACATGCCAAGAAAAGATTCTATATACAGGCCTCACACTTTTACAAACATTACTTGAAATGGGTCACAGACCCACATATAAAATGCAGAATTATAAAACTTTGAGAAAATAACGAGGGAAAATCTAGGTGACCTCTAGTTATTAGATATAACATGAAAAGTATGATTCATGAAAGAAAAAAATTAGTAAGTTAGACTTTATAAAATTAAAACCTTATGCTCTGCAAAAGACACTGTTAAGGGGCTAGGGTTGTGACTTAGTGGCAGAGCGCTTGCCTAGCACATGCGAGGCCCTGGGTTTGATCCTCAGCACCATATAAAAATAAATAAATAAAATAAAGATATTGAAAAAAAAAGACATTGTTAAGAGAATGAAAAGACAAACTGCAAGCTAAGAAAATATTTGCAAAACACACATCTGATAGAAAAACTTGTATCCAAATATAAAAACTAAACAATAAGGAATGACTCGATAAAAAAAGGGCAAAAGATCTGAAGAAGCACCTCTCAGAGAAGAAATGTAGAAGGCGAGGAAGCAAGCGAGAAGACCCTCAACATCCCTGACCTCAGGAAGCTGGAAATCAAAACAGCAATGAGAGGCCATTGTGTATCCCACAGCAAAACACAGGGACAATGCCAAACACTGGTGAGGATGCGGAGCCACCGAGATCCTCACCTATTGCTGGAAGGAATGAAAATGGTACAATTACTCTGGAAGATAGTTGGGCAATTTCTTCTAAAACTAAGTATAGTCTCGCCATGGGATACCGCAATCCTGCTCCC